CGGCTTTTTCCAACATTGGACAAACTAAAAAAACATATTTCACATGCATTTGTTATGCACATTTTTCGAGATATTGACTTGGGACCACCACCTGTATTTATTGGGTGGTTAGTACTACATTTTGATAGGGAACATGTTTTTGGCCGCCATCTTGGATCCGCCATATTGGACATAGATAATTTTTTTTCAATGTAATGATAGTGTTGTGACACATCATTACTAACTACATTTTTACGCTGATTTCACTGCCAAAGTCCGTTTTTAAATATCTTTATTCATTTAGAAGATATATTCAGACGAAAACTCTCCACCATACATTTCTTATGGACGTTTCGTAGTTTGATAATTTTTTTTAAAACTATTTTTCTTATATCTCCAGTTCTTATTGACGGTTGTAGTTCGTTCTAGGCTTAAAATATTCAGTAATGTAAGGGCTTTCGTAAGAACTCTTGATCATTAAAATCAGACGAGTTAAAGACCAGCTACAAACCTCAGAACAATATTAAATTTAACTTTTTAGAAATATATTTTTATTAAAAGATTTATAACTCGGGTTGTTAATACGTCACAAAGTTATTTCTGGTCTCAAATTACTCAGTAAATGTTTGGCTTTAATTTTATCGATCATTAAACAAAATCTGACAATTTTAAAATGAGTCATGGACCATAAATTAACATTAAAATGTATTTATATTGAAATTTGTCTTTAGTTAAAGACGTATATCCCCAATTCTAAATAACTCCCAAAACTCTTTATAGTCTTAAATAATTCGCCAAAATATTGACCTTTATTTTAGACATGGATTACTTTCCGGGAGTTATTAGGGTTTGGGATATGTCCTTAACTAAAGACAAATTTCAAAACAAATACATTTTAATGTTAAATTAAGAACCATGACTCATTTTAAAATTGTCAGATTTTGTTTAGTGATTAATACAATCAAAGCTTAACATTCACTGAGTAATTTGAGACCAGAAAGAACTTGGTGACGTATTAACAACCCGAGTTACAAATCTTTTAATAAAAATATATTTATAAAAAGATAAATTTAATATTGTTCTGAGGTTCGTAGCTGGTCTTTAACTCGTCTGATTTTAATGATCAAGAGCTCAAATGAAAGCCCTTACATTACTGAATATTTTAAGCCTAGAACGAACTACAAGCGTCAATAAGAACGGGAGATATAAGAAAAATAATTTTAAAACAATTATCAAACTACGAACGTCCATAAGAAATGTATGGTGGAGAGTTTTCGTTTGAATATCTTCTAAATGAATAAAGATATTTAAAAACGGATTTCGGCATTGAAATCAGTGTAAAAATTTAGTTGGTAATGATGTGTCACAACACTATCATTACATTGAAACAAAATTATCTATGTCCAATATGGCGGATCCAAGATGGCGGCCAAAAACATGTTCCCTATCAAAATGAAATACTAACCACCCAATAAATACAGGCGGTGGTCCCAAGTCATTATCTCGAAAAATGTGCATAACAAATGCATGTGAAATGTGTTTTTTTAATTTGTCCAATGTTGGAAATAGCCGCCATTTTAAATTGTGATTTTAGTGGTTTTATCGTGCACTGATTTTTGGCAACTTTTAGTATGTCATTCTGCAAACCCAACTCTACAAAATAAAACCATAAAACGTTTTCTTGCAATTTTTTTAACGATCCCTATGTAAGTTTGTTTAGTTTGCTTGGACTATATGGCAAAGAGGTTTTATGGTGAAAAAATGGGGTCTTCCATATTTGGCCCCAAATACAAAAAATATCGCAATTTCTTTCCAAACCATTATGTAGAGCTTGAAAATAAATCTTTTATTTTCAATATGGTACTTCTCTATAGGTAAATTTGCTAACTAGGTAAAACCACAAATTAGAGTAAATATGTGGCATAACCGTTCATTTAAAGAGATTACATAAACACACAAGCGATACAGAATCCCTGAATACAAACTTACTTTAAAATAAGCGATATGTATTTCTTAAAAAAGAATTCCAAACACCATCGGTTCTAGGAAAAAGTGCCGGCTTCAACTATTTTACAGTGTAACCTGTACCGACACGTTAAAATGGTACCGGTACCAAGGTGCCTGTAGGTCACATACCCATCGGCACACAGGATTTTGAGTAATTTATCTACGGTAATGCATAAAATCCAACAGAGGAAGGGATCATAAGGCATGAGGCAATGGGGGAATCTAATAGTGTTTAACTTGGGGTTTGATCATTTGACCAGTGATCCGATTATTGATCTACGGCTATTGGTCGTATTACTGCGGATTATTAAGGCTGTTATGGTTATGGCCGTGTTATTAAACGACCACACGTGGCGATCCTGTGGAGATAGAAATTGTAGAAATACGCGAAAGCTTGGACAATTAAGTAGCACAATCATAGGTACACTTTAAAATCCTATGTAAGAGCTATGTAAGAAACGTAATGGTAAATATCCGCCAAACTCTTATCATATCGTAAAATAGATTTTCAACAAAATTTTAAGCATGTCTAACGTATTCAAACCAATAATAATTCTGTTTACCAATTGTTTTTTACGACTGAATAAGTCACACTCCACCCCATTGAGAAAAAAATAAAACAATTTGATAAGTGTAGGGGTTTGTCATAAATATATAGAGGTCTATGTTGGATGTGCATTACGAAGAAATTCACCAACATATGTTTATCAACAAACAAAAAATGTTTTACAAAAATAAGTGTATTGCAGACGGACATATTCTAACGCCTGCAGTTCAGTGATACAACCAGACACACACACCGGCTTGGACACAAGCTTGCTACCAAGTGAGGGCGCAAGCTAAATGTGGGATTCAGAAGTGAAATAATAGTTTCATTTTCTTTGTTTTATAATTTTTTTGACGGGTAATTAATTTAATAATTTACATTACATGAATGTAGATTGATTAACTGTACAATTGTATTTTATTTAGAATAGTCGTGGTTCTAAGCACTCGATGAGATTTTTACGTGGATATAATGTTTTTCCACAAGTTTTTTTTGGTACTACGTATTTTGTTACATTATTTACATACCTTTTAGAAACTAGGGTAGTACTGATATTTGTGGTTATTTTTAGTCGTTGGGGACTTGTTTAAGAAAACAAAAGGACGTTATTATAGGTTTGAAATTATTTGAAATAATGCTAGTATAGTAGAACCTCGATAACAAGGGTAATTTTCAAATCCCCTAGAGTTTATTTTACCCCTAATCACATTATATTACAAACCTCGATAAGAAGTCAACCATGATAACAAGTCTTATTTTTTAATCCCTATGAGAGTCTTGATTAAGGTTCTGGAGTAAGGATGTCAAGGTTCTACTATATATTTCATTTTATTCTCCAATCAAAATCGATTCATATATTAATAAATATCAAATTAAATGTAGACTTGCGACTGGCTTAACGTAAACAAATTATCATTTAACTTTAAAATTCACAAGTCATTTGTTGGTAGTATCTAACTTGAGAGAATACTTTTAGGAATTTGCAAAAGAAATAAGTATTCATAAAAATACATCGATATTAAAGAACAAGGCTTCTAGAGGCAAGCAAACATTAAGCTAAGTGACGTAAAGGTGTAGATCTTTATTTATAACTTATGTATGTATGTGACAGTAATAAGTAAAAAAAATCTTTTTAACGTAGATAGCACTCATTCCCGGAATAGAAATTCAAAAATGTTTGCAAAGTTGACATTCCATTTAAATAGAAGCGATAGAATATAGCTGAACGATCAGAAAATAAATCAATATCTGACTGTATCTATAAAACTACCTGACATCTCCCATCGCAAAAAGTCATCTTAAACATTTACCTTTGGGACATAATTCCAATCCCCTATAATTAAACCCATTAAACATACATCCAATATAACCACAGACATTCCCTATGCAGCCTAGTCAATGGTGTGTACAATATTTCATTAGCGCTACCATTTACATGATCCTGCTATTAGGCATCCCACCCCTGCTATTTGCTCACTTTATTAACATCTAATCCCACCCATTCGCTGCAACCCCTGGTCCATGTGTGGGGTAGCTTGGCTTGCGTGCTCACAGTGGCACAAGAGGTGCTGCTCCGAAAGGCGTAATTCCGAAATATGCAGAAGCAAATTTCCGAAGTAGTGCTTTTAGGCAGGCACACCGCTTGTTTCAAGGTATGCAAATCTATACAGGGTGTTCAAAAAGGTGGGGGACATAATTTACGTAGTAATTAAATTCCTTAGTTCAAAATAAGCAAAAAACTGTTTATAAACAATGTCCTATCTCCTATACTGTATCGTTGAAATCTCCTATCTAATTTTCGGTTTTCGTGGAATTTAGCATAAAATATTTAATATATACGTAATTTAAAAACAGTTTAAGAATTTAAATTTTTATTTTTCTAAAACAGTGGCAAATAATATATTTTTGCAGAATTGTAACGCTGTATAGATGTTTCAATAGAAAAAAATTAAATAAAAAACACATACAGAAAGACAGACGCTAAGCGAAACGAAATATGACATCTGTGTTCATATAAACTTTTTTTTGCTTATTTTGACCCCAGGAATCACTACGTAGTTATGTTGTTACTAAGATCAAGATCAGCTGTTTTTTTTTTTAAGGACAGCTGGGTCCAATTTCACACCATTAAAAGCCGCTGACTTTTGCCAGAACCGAACCGGGAACCATAAGATTTTTAGATGAGCTCTTTATCACTTATTTGTAGCTATACAATTAATTGTAAATACGGTAGCAATAACAAAATAGCATACAACATAAAAAGTTAACTTTGAAAGATTCACAAATGGCTTCTAAGAAACATTGTTCGTTTGAAAACACAGATACCGTAGAACTAAATAACCTTTTAAAGAAAACTAATGATTTTCAATCCCTAAATCACCGTTTTGAGTTTGAATGCTTACATTTTCAACAAAATCCAAAAACAATTCTTTCACGTAAAAAGCAAGATTATTGTAACTAAACTCACCTGTCTTGTCTATTTCCTGAGTAAGCGTTCAGGTCCAAAATGTCGTCTAGTGAAACTCTGAAATTAAAAATCATTTCTCAAAGCAAGAAAGTCAGATTTTAAGTTGAGCTTAAATACAATCACTTTGGCAGAACTATCAAGCTGGCTTTACAGCAAAGCCAATTTACCGATAGTTTAAAGCGAAAATTAATGAGACAAAAAAAATACTTTAGTGTAATATACAGCAAACTATCCCTAATTAACTACCTACGCTGAAACGTTTAAGTAGACGGTGAATAATGTTGAAGGATGCCACAATAAAATTAAAATTTACCATCCAAAAGGCTGATTAATTTATTTGAGTGTTTAGAAGTATACAACAATATGTCAAAGATAAAGTCAGTTATAGAATGAAAATGAACGCAGTTGAAGTCACCGATAGAATGCCTTGATGTTAATTACTTTTTTTACACGATAATTTATTCAACAATCTTCTATTTAAACGAAATATTGGCTACAGCTGGCCCATTAAATGGGAATTCTACTTCAGTGTCTTAAAGTTAATGCTACTAAACCTAGAGATATACACCCAGTTAACAAAGTTAGCATTAAGTATCATAATTCTGTGAATACCACGGTTATTGAACATCTTATAAATTTAAAAAATGTGTGTTTTCTTTTCCGAGTTAGTTTGACTCTTCTACCAGACCGATATTCATGATTGAGGTCTCAAATTGAAGGTATGCAAACACATATTTCAAAGTATCGGCATATTTATCTACTGTATTACTCGACCAAAAGCATAAATTTGGTTTATTTTCGAATTCTCACTTCAACTTCAGATGTATTTCACCAGTTATAATTCTAAAAACGTTTATATTTTGGTCTAAGAACCTTCAGTGAAATAAAAGCTTTCGAGGTATTAGTTATTCAAATCGGACGAGTTTCAAGCAGAAAAACAACATGAACAATTTTTTTATTAGGGTTTCTATGATAAAAAATCAATAGCTCCAGGATTGTTTATGTTTTTTTGATGTTTATGACACAAAATAATCGTTGAATTATATGCTTTATATGAGCTATTGATCGTTTGAAACAGTTAAGTTCAAGTTATTACTCAATCAAAAATCATAATTTGATTTTTAGCGAATTTCCCTATAGGGAAGTAGCTATTACCGTAGGTGGCACGGTAAGACCTAGACTTGGGACCGATTTACTTTTTCATTTTGATGTCCCCAGAGGCCAAAAACACTATTCGTTCAAATTTTTATATATGTATATATATATATATATATATATATAGACTTATATATATATACGTCCGTGAACGCGATAACTTGAGTAATTTTTGTCCGATTTTGATGGAATTTGGTTTAAAGGTGTAAAGCGGGATAAACTTGAATGAGTTCGCGAACCAGCACGATCGGACCATGGGAACGGGGCTTTACGGGGGGTTTTATGGGGTAAAAATTGGTTTTTCTCACTTTTGACCCTCAAAACACAAAATTTCCCAATTTCTCTTTAGACCTTTTTAAAAAGCTTAAAAAAACCAATAATTTAGTATATAAAAGTATTTTTGTTCGATTATTAGTAACGGAGAAAATTAAAAAAATTGTAAATTTAAAATTCCCATGTTATCCTTATGGAGAATATTGTCAAATGTTGTAGTTTGCTTGTTTATGAATATATTTTGATCAAACTTGGCAAATTTATTTATTTTGTACTAAGCTATCAATATTTTCCTCAAAAACACACTTTATTAGTTTCCTTGTAGCAGCAAACCTAGGTACTCATTAAACCTAATGTTATTAAATATATTTAACTGAAAATCAATTCAGACAAATGGAAATTCGCTTAGTCGGCAGGTTTGCTGCGGCGGATGTATTTTTTTATATGATATTTATTTCAACGCTGCGGAGCAGCATGGGTCCTCTAGTTTGGGTTGAAAAACATTTTAGTAAAAATCATTTCAAAATTTTTTCTTTTAACGAAATTATATTACTCACTTAAAATAGGATGGTAAATCAACTATTTTAAGAGTAGTATTTTGCAAAATTATTATTAGTATTATTAAATTTGAGTTTCAAAGAATTATTGAGCCTCCGGATTACTGAATTATATTTAAAAAGGTTTACAATACAAAACAACCAAAACACTAAAACTCCTCTCAAAGAAACCTTATGAAAAACCCATTGTAGCAGAAAAGCACTTTTAATAACGAAAATCATCAAAAGGAACAATCTAACAAGGTGAGTAAATGTTCAGAATGTGCGAACTCACGTGCATTTGACAGTTTCCAACAATGGACTGCCGGCGTTGATAGACCTGTAACATCAGACATCAAACAAGGATCAGGAATGCCGATATTAATCTATAGTCAAAGGCGATACAGACTCCTGTTATTACCAACTGCTCGACTGAATCACAAGTGATATCCTTTTATTGTAAAGGTTTTCAAAAGGTTATAAATGTTATAATGGCCTGAAAGATCGGATTCTATTGTAAAGGAGGGAAGGTGAATGGGGATCGTAAGATGCGTTGAAGTTCGTTGTTGAAATTTAATTAGTAATAAACGAGTAGATTGTGAATGTTAAGTTTTTTAGCGAATTTCCCTGGGGAAGAAGCTATAACCGTAGACCTCATGGTAAGGTATACAACACAAGATAAAAAAACAATGAAATCGTCATCAATGGTAAAACATGTAGACAATGGATAATAATAAGGAATACCTACTTAAACAGTTACAAAAAACACTTAACACAACAAAACCAATCTACTGATTATGTTCTTACCTTATTGCGGATATGAGCTCACTCTTTTGTTCTTTTTTTACCAAATCGGTTTTGTTCAGAATGACGAAATCTGCAAGAGCCACTTGCCTGAAATATAAGCAAAGTCTTAAAATTCCTAAAATCTTTATACAGGTACTATACAGATTTTTCCTGTACCAGCAATACTGTATAGTTAGTTATTAGTGCAAATAGTTGATGTTAGGCTAAAGTAAAGATCTGGATGGATGGTTAAATGTATCGGGCTGAGTTTGGGTTTGTCTGGTTTGGGCAAACATGATAAAGAGAAAAGAGGTTTCGTAAAAAAAACAGTAGGCGGGCTAATAAATACTACACAGAAAAAATAGTTAGGAATGGATGGCATTCAGACAGGGACCAAGTGGCAAAAATGAAAATTGGAGGAAATACAATAGCCATTGCATTGAATATCGTGGATTCAATTTCGAGAATCGCATCGGCATGACATCGCTTGAAAGAGGAGATAATATACTAGCATACTGTAGACATTTATAAAGTTAATCGCATCAAGTATTGCAGAATACACACAGTACGACTTGCATATCACACTACAGGGATGGTACAGTGTAAAAACTACCTGTAAATGCCGGTACAAAGGTTATCGTATTGTATACCGCAGTATCAATATCGATTATCGAGGAAGCAGGTACAATCGTTGTGTACAATGTACGATGTAAAGTACTTCTGATAGCATTACGTTCCGGTTCAAAACTAGAAGACTACTCAATCACAACTCACTACAGAAATTATCGCATAGCATATCGCAATATCTATCAATATTATCAATATTATCTTACTAATATTATAAACTAGCTGGCCCGACAGACGTCGTCCTGTCCTATTGTGGTTTTATGTCACATGCTCGTTCATTTTCAAGATGAGCTCGTTCGCATGGCTCAATCACGTCCTGGTTGAAGTTCGTTCGCTACGCTCACTCACCTTTAGGTTGGAGCTCGTTCGCTGCGCTCACTTGCCTTCAGGTTAGCTCGTTCGCTACGCTAACTCGCCTCCAGGTTGAAGTTCGTTCGCTACGCTCACTCACCTTTTGGTTCCAAATTAGCTGTTCTCATAAATTAAAAATAAATATAGTGCTGCACCCTGTTGGTAAACCTATTAACTTTTTAATGCTATTGAACATCACAGAATCAAATTGTTTAGTTGCACCAGCTGTTAAGATTCTTTAATTCCATTTAAATATGAGTACTCATAAGGTTAACATGGGAAACTCCAGAGCCACTGGGGCGGAGCCCTATTGACGGATCTGCACCAAACTTCACACAAACCATCCTTGAATAATACTTAATAATGCCTGAAAGTTTCATTACAATCTGTCGAGCGGTTTTGGAGTCCATAAAGGACAAACATACAAATATACAAACATACAAATATACAAACATACATTGGATTTTATATATATAATAGATGTGAAAGTTTAGATGTATGGATGTATGGATGGATGTATGTTTGTGACAAGTGAACGCAAAAAATACTGGTCGGATCGGGCTGAAATTCGGCATGATGATAGCTCATATTCCCGATTAACATATAGGCATATTTTTATCCCAAAAATCCTTCCGGGCTCCGCCCCAGTGGCTCTGGAGTTATATGTTAAACTTATGAGAAATGGAATTAATGAATCTTAACAGCTGTTTCAATTAAACAAGTTGGTTCTGTTCTATGATGTTCAATAGCATTAAAGTTACAAGGATTACCAACAGGGTGCAGCACTATTATTTCTTTTACATTTATGACAACAGCTAATTTGCAACCAAAAGGTGAGTGAGCGTAGCGAACGAACTTCAATCTGGAGGCGAGTGAGCGTAGCGAACGAGCTAACCTGAAGGAAAGTGAGCGCAGCGAACGAGCTCCAACCTAAAGGTGAGTGAACGTAGCGAACGAGCTCCAACCTAAAGGTGAGTGAGCGTAGCGAACGAGCTCCAATCTAAGGGTGAGTGAGCGTAGCGAACGAACTTCAACCAGGACGTGATTGAGCCATGCAAACGAGATCATCTTGAAAATTAAGAAGTTAAACGGGGCAAAGCCCGCGGGTTACAGCTAGTCTATCAATATTATCAATTATCGCATTGAAGGTATAAAGTACCAGTACGTACGATGAAGGGTACCTCTGATAGCATTACGTCCCGCACTGGAGAGACAAATTCAATCGTCATCTTACTACAAAAGTTATCGACATCTTACTACAAAAGTTGTCGCATCGCATATCGCATTGTCAATATCGATTATCGTATCGTATCGTGAAGGTACCAAGTACGTACGATGAATCATTACACTGGGAGACTAATTCAATCACGACAACTCACTACAAAAGTTATCGCATCGCATATCGCAGTGTCAATATCGATTATCGTATCGTATCGAGGAAGGTACAATGTACGATGAAGGTTGATAACATTACGTCCCGCACTGGGAGACTAACCCAATCACGACAACTCACTTACCATATCATTTGTCTCAGCAGATTCTCTTCTCGCAAAACAGTTTACTAACGTCATTTACCCTCCCCCACCCCCTTCCTACTTCAGGGCGGCCATTTTGAACACCACAAAAAATTACATCGTCCATACTCTGATGTTTCAGGGGGAACTTTCTGAATTTTCATTTGAGTGTTATGAATTTAACGGGTCGTTTTTACTGTCATAACCATTTTACAGGCTACATGGGAAATGATGCCATTGTCCGTCCATTACACTACAATATTAACATATGCAAGACTATAAAGTAGTTGTGTGCAACATTTTTCGGAGGGAAATATCACCGATGGTTATTTTTTGAACAGTAGTGCTTAGCTAACAAAATTTTACTAAACCAAAGTGTTAATTTTATACGTCAGCATTTTACGGATGCTAAATTAAGATGCAACCCACTTTCTTCGGTAGTCCTTTGTTTCTGTCATTATAATTATTTTAACGATCAGATGTTTAGATAGTGTTAACAAATAATTGTCTAAGTATTGGGGAAAGACATAGCTACGGATTATTCCACAAACATGATTCTTCGTTAAACAACCAAGTTTTGCGAGGTGTTCTCTATTTCAAAGAGACAAAAACTGTTCGTTTATTTAATTATTGAACTAAGTTACATAAAATAATGTTCATTTATGTTTTAGAGTCAACTGTACGACAAAATAGATTACAAAGGATTTGTGCGTTTATAACCTAGACAAATCTGTCTTAAATACGTTAGTGGTATGAACAGTATCAAATTTGACTGTGGCGTCTGCGTATCACCACAGAGAAGTAAGAAATGTAAGAAATAAATCGTACTTCTCTGTAGTCTGGCAGATTCAATGAAGAAGTGGCACAAAAAGCCACAGTCAACAAGACTTGGACATAGAAACTGTTCATAGCAACGTACTCAAAGTTCATTATTAAATTTGCATTCAAACGTAAAATCCAAATCACATACCTGATAGCAGCATTTATTTTGTTGTCACTATCTTCTTTCAGCTTTTCCTTCAGTTGCTGAAACAAAATATTTCTGTTAAACACGTCAAATAAATCATCTTTCAAAGCAGTTGAAATAAAAACATAATTTTTGTCATGTCTTTGCACTTTTATACTTTAAAGTCATGATAGTAGTCATTATCAAAAACGGAACGTTAAAATAATTACATTCGTTGAATGTCGTCAAATCTTAAATACATTTAACACACAAACAAACATAACACGAACACGGTAGACATTAAACATAATTGGCCGGCCGGCACACGTCACTGAACTGGTCGACGACGATGAATGACAAATTTTAATGATGACACGGATTAGAATCGTAGTAGTCGAAGCTATAGTCAACGGATACCGACTAAGGAATTGTGGACGTCAAGGTACGTAACTTGTTATAATTGATTACCAATTCCGGAAGGCTTCAACATGAATAACTCATTTTTTATATTATAGTTCACTGTATTCGTTTTAACTCAGACATAGCATATAGATCTTTTTACATATTCTTTCTCAGTCTTGGTGAAAATGATCAATTATCAATTAATTGCAATGGGGACGCCACCTAGGTGCGAATTTTAACCCTATGAGTGAAGGATGAGTATAGGCAGAATTGTGTGAGATGGTCTCTGTAGCTTTGTTACTGACTAAGATCAGCTGTTTCATCAGTCAGGATCATTTAAAACACAATGTTCAGAATTTCGAACCATCCTAGCTACTCACTTTTTTCAGGATGAAACCCGCAAAATGTTTTTTTTTCATTTAAAACCCCCAAGTATCAAACTCAGAATTACAAAACATGCAAACCAAGTTACAAAACCAAGAATTACAAAACCGTATCAATCCCCCGCCCCTTACCTCTCACTCTCTCAGCCAATCCAATAGCAGAAGCGAAGGGGGCATACAAATACAATACATATCAACTCGCCCGGGGTGTAGGGGGGGGGATACACGAGTATACCCCCGCGGGCGACAACGTTCCAAATGAAACTTCACTTTGTCTTGGTCGCCATTTTTCCTCCGAGTCAATTAATTTCTGTTCGCCCTTTGAACACTGTCAACACGTTCGTACACACGGATTAGAATCGTTCATTATTGAGCTTCTTGTAGTATCAATACTAATACTGTTTCGATTCCTCCTGTTTGTCGAGAGTTTGGCAAACAACGAGTTATTTGCTCGTAATGAAAATGTAAGACGTGTTTTGTGAAATCGAAAAGGGGTTTTGTTTGGAAAGTATCATTGCGATTGTGTTCGGGATCGTTTGGAATTGATTTATCTCGCTCATAAGAAAATGCCTTTTGCTTTTTTTACTTATTTCATTTATTTTAACTGTAATTAACTTATTTTAAGAGAAGTAGTTTGTTACAACATCTCCAAATATATAATCGCTGAATCTCGATGTTGACGCTGACACCCAATTAAAAATGAAGACGAATGAAAGGAAAGGGGTTCCTGACTCACATACTGTAATAGCCAGGGAATGCAAACATTCGTGGGTTTATTGAATGTCTTGCAGAAAGACGTAATGTTGGACGTAATGTCCAAACGTGCAAAAATGCTGTAAGTACATGTTAAAAATTTGTGTTCATTCTACTCTTATCTGCTTACCGGTACCCACAGTTTTGGTTGGTAAGTTCCACTGCAAATAAAACAGGAAGATCCTATTGTTCTGTGGTTTCACGTACAGACGAAGGTCAGACGGAAAATTGAACGACTGCAACTTCTTCAAAAGCACAAGCTACGGTTGTAATAAAAGTCTCACACCGTTCGTACATTTTAAACATCGCGCTAATCGTTTCTCTGAATATCGTACGATAGAACATTATATTAAACCATCAAGTAGTGCATTTATATACACCGACCTCTCGAGTCTTGCTATAGAGTTTCTGCCGTACACTCGCCGACGTTGGTGGTTTGATAGAGTTGTCAAACTTTGATAAACAAATCAATACATGAGGTTGGCGATTTTCATCCAACGTACTCGGAACAGGAACATTTTTGCAATGCGACTCTCAACATAAAACTACGTAAAATACACACAAACAGTAAACAGTAACAATTAATTGTAGGAGCTAACAACAAGAATGAGAAACAGGTTCGAGGTGTCCTGGAAGGTAACTCTACCAGCTTTAACTTGCATGTGACATCCGCTTGTACCTTGAGATTGTAGGTGAGTTCTATTGTACAATTAGGGAAGAAATACGAGAAGTTCCACTAATCTCAATTTCAAGCCTCACTTTGGAAAGTAAACGAAATTCCCATAGCAGGTACTGCGAGAAGAAATGCCCTCCAGTGAAAATAATCACTCAAGAAAATACTGGAGCTAGTCTTATGCACCATATATTTAAATGCAAACATTGAATTATTTTTTTCAAACGTATTTGGTGGGTCGGGGGTCGGTTTGATGCAATGTTTGGACAAAACCAACTTTTAGAGAGTCTGCAAACCTCTAAAAAATTAACAAATTAACCGTCACTGAGTATTTTTAAGTGGACCACTTATAGTTGTCGCAATGTAAATAAAGGTGATGTAGAAAGGTGAGGTTGAGTGGTAAGGTTTGGTAATTTTTATACGTCAGCAGGCCACCTCTTGTTCGTTTACACCACCTTGATTTGCATAGGGAATATTGTGGACCTCGTCTTGAAAAGACCCCAAATCTCTTCCTACACTACTTTCAATATCCCATATTTTACACTACATTTTATCCTTATTTTACCCACATTTCCTCACGCCCGAGGGCGTGTGTCGCTTTTGTTCCGTGGTTGAAGGCTAATTTCTTCACATCACTTTTGTTCCGGGGGCCAACAGGTAGATTTCGGGGCCGGCCGAAACATCGCTTTCGTTCCGCGGACATCTCCCTTGTTCCGCGAGAGAGGTGGCTACATTCTCCCCAAATCCTCTCTTTCATTCTCCTCCTAATTATTTCTGTCATAGGTTAAGAAAGGTTATTGAAGGTTAAATTGTTGATATTTTTGTTAAGGAGAAAATGATAATTTAACGAATTTTAAAGCCCACATGAAAGAAAGAATTTAGGATGAGGATTTTGGAGAGAGAGAGTACAGTCCCTCTCTCGCGGAACAAGATAGATTTCCGCGGAACAAAAGCAATGTTTCGGTCCCGAAATCTACCTGCTAACCACCGGAACAAAAGTGGTAAGAAGAAATTATCCTTCACCCGCGGAACAAAAATGATACAGCCACCCGCTGCTCCTGGACCCTTGACATCTCCCACATCAACCTACAGATAGTCCCTTTGTCCCGCTAATTCCCAATATATTGCCCTGCTAAGCCAACCCTTCCAGCAATCAATGAGTTGGCATTTTTGCACCCCAGGCGTCGCTGAACAATGGACTTCTATTGTGTCACCACCCAATAATGTGAGAGATACGTCTACAATGTCTTCATCATCGTGCGATCAGTCGCATAAACAATCGATATGCAACATATTGCAAACTCGACTATCTTATCATTGGTATAAGGTTTATTGCGGGTATATTCAATTACGTTTAGTAACAAATATGCTTAAGCTTACACAACGTTTTGAGTAATGAGATCCCATCTTCAAGTGTATAAGTGCTACATGACACGATTAGTTCACAAACCCACAAAAAGCTGAAAAATTTTAAAATAAAGCACACTGAGAAGTTTTACTTTGTCGAAAAAAAACATGAAAGAAAAAAAGCAGTACAAAGAACAATGGAGGCTTAAACTTTCTTGCGTGAGAACGGTTTCATATTCCAAATCCGAAATCTTCATGAAAACTTTTTTTTTTAATCGTGATGGAAACGTCAGCAATAATCCCTCAAATAGAACACCCCCACCGCAGCAAACCTGCAGACTATGTGATTTCCATTTGCCTTATTGGATTTTCTCCAAAACATTAGATTTATTCCCTAAAAAAAGTTAGGTGAGTATTTAGGTTTGCAGCTATAAGGAAGGCAATAAAGTTTTTTGTGAATTGTTAAATAAATAAATCGGTGTTAAGTAAATAAATGTATCAAATTTGATTAAAATATATCTATAATTAAGAAAACTACAACGGTTAATTTAGAGACTAACATAAAAAACTTAGATTTACAATATTTTCCTTATTTTCCCCGTAATTTCTAATCATACAAAACACTTCAATGTACTTAATTATTACTTTTGAGCTCCACAAAATGGTTCACGAAAGAAATCGCAACATTTTATGTTTTTGGGATTAAGAATGTGTAAACCACAAACTTTTTACCACAAACTCTCCATAATTCGTTTACCGTAGTGAGTACGACCTGGATCACGAAGTCGTACGAATAATTAAATAGTAAATCGGTCCCGGGTCTAGGTCTTACCATGAAACTTACGTTAATAGCTTATTCCCTAATTGGGTAATTCGCTAAAAACTTCAGATAAAGGAGGTGATATTTGTGTTATTTACATTAGATAAAACCACACCAGTATAACTGGAATAGGTAGTAATTGCAGATAACTAGCCTGATGTTGTGTAACACCTCTGACGCCTGTTGTCACCTGCGTATGTGTGGGTGGCGTACCTGCTGCGGACACGTTGACTGTAGGAACACTGGGTGAGTGTGTGTAGATTTATTATTTTATTATGTTAACTAGAGGACCCACGCTACTCCGTTAAAATAAATATCATATCCGAGAGATAATCAAATTTATGGGTTTTTTAGTATTACAGTTTCATGAACTTAGCTGACTCAAACGATCAATAGCTCAAATTAAAATTTTGTGATTGAGTGTAAATAAAGTAATTTATTTTTAATCATACAAAAACCTTATAAAAATAATTTTTATGTTAGTTTTTCACCTTGCAACGCTTGAAAATCGTCCTATTTCAATAAAAAATAGCTCAAATGAAAGCCGGTATTTCACTGAAGGTTCTTAGACCAAAATATATATAATTATAACTGGTGAAACACGTCTTAAGTAGGAATCCGAAAAAAAATCTAATTTATGCTTTTGGTCGAGTAATATAATAGGTAAATATATATGCCGATGCTTGATGTGAAATCTGTGCGTGCATACCTTCAATTTGAGACCTCAATGATGAAAATGGGTCAGGTAGAAGAGCCAAACGAACTCGGGAAAAAACCAAATTTAACTCTCATAAGAAATACATAGGGAGCAAATTTCGTTTACGTATAAGTCGAGTGGGACAGTAGATAAATATATGCCGATGGTTGATGTGAAATCTGTGCGTGCATACCTTCAATTATTCATCTAATTTTACTTGTAAAAATTACAATAAAGATGTTTGAACCTTGCGTTCAAAAATCCATTGTATTATATTAATATTTCGAGTATTGTGCAAACTATAAACTTATGTTTCCAAACCTTAGGAACCCATGAGAGTCCATCTAACTGTTCCATAAAGGGGTCTGACATTTGAGAGGACTTGGGGTACGGCATAACAGCCCAGTAAAAAAGGGGAGGGATCCTCAATCGGGAAATATTAAAAATGGGGATTCACCAAATTGTTGTGGCTAAGTTTGCTTTATGCATTGCCAATTTATTGTTGTTTTTTTTTCCTAATTGTTTGTTTTGGTTGTAAGGGTCTCGGGCCTCTAGAGAGACTCGGGCCCCCTTGCCTTGATGGATGCATCCATCTTATCTGGTTAGGAAGGGAAGTCCACTCTTCCCCCTTTGGCCTTGGCACCTACCATGATCTGAACCCTTCCATATAGTAATTTTTAGGATTTCAAAATTTAAAAACTCTGTGATTTACTCAATCAGCATTTAAAATAGAACCCGTGACTAAATACCAAGATTATGCAAATCTACAGAACATGTGTAACGATAGCTCAGCGGCAATTCTTCAAACATTGTCACTGAAGTCATTACAAGCCAGTAAAAATATCATCGTAACAAACATTGAACAGCAATCACTAAAAACGTTGCAATCAAGGTATTTTTTACATGGTAAACAATAGTTAGTACCTCTATTGTGTAATGCGAGGAAAAGCTGAATTACTGCTTAATGGTGCATTTGATTGACTAGGAAGCGTTAAGGACACCAAACCGGGTGACCTTGGGAATTACTGAAGCGAGGCCCGTGGATTGTGTCCAAAATAAACCCATAAACCTCGGTGAGGCAGTCGACAGTTACAGAATTGAAGTAAGTACAATATTGATTCCTTATGTTTACATAGATTTATTACCGGTTCAATAATTGTAACTAGGGATACCCTAGTGGAAGAGATCAATATATATCAATACAAAAATTGTATATTGATACGTATTGATACGTATGTGTATTTGGGCCAATACACATCAATACACATCAATACATATCAATACAAGTAAATAGGATCCGAGTCATTAGCTTTAGCTTATTTGAAAATAATTTGTAGCTTGTTAAAAAACCATTTTTAATTTGTTTTAAAACATTAAATAATATCAACTATGCACTAAAAATAAAATAAAAATTAAAAAGTAAAAAAATTCTTGGCAAAAAGTTCAGTGGATTCCCGAGATTTGAACTGGGGACTCCAGCATGGAAGTAATGATAGCCATTCTGAATGCGAGAAGCTGTGTTAGGCCTCATAATTTAACTTGCATGTTTCAAAACTGTTTTATTACCAGTTAACAACAATTTTAATGTTTAGCAATCAGTTTTTGGCAGTTTAAAAAATAAGTTTTAATACAAGTTGTAACTGTTTTACAACAATTTTAAAATTATATATTTTTTAATTACCTATATTGAGTTTTAGGTACCTCAGCTAACGCCTATGACCTAGAACTAGAGTTTTTCCTTTTTTCATAAAATAACATTTTTATTACCGGTACTGTTTATTTCACAAAGTTTACATTGGTATTTTGTATAATCCATAATGTTCATATGTGATACATTTTAGAGATATTTTGCATTTTATTTATCCGTATTGATGTCTATTGACTTATATTTACATCTAACATATTTAAAAAATATTCTCTATTGATATCAATGAACGATTTGTTTGCTCAAATGATCTATATTGATATATTTTATGTTTATAGATGTCTACTGATATGTATTGACTAAGTTTTCTGTGATGTCTATTTGTTTGTATTTACTTGTAATGATATCCATGAACATCTATTGATATCACTAAGAATCTAGTGATATCAATAGATGTTTTCTATTGATGTCTTCCACTAGGGTATAATAGCTATTTTGAGACATTGGAAAGCCTAAGGATGTTTCTCAGTTAAGCAATATCAAGTCAAAATTTATTATATATAACTGTGTTACGTACATATTTATTTTTTATTGATTGAAACGCCTTAGTTCTGATTTTCAAAACGATTAAATAAGTAGCCAGTGTTTATAGTGGTCGCCTTCAAATCTGAATAAACCTATTTAATTTTTACGAGTAGAGGACGTCCAGTGGTCGAAAACTTGACCAAAAATAATGTAATGAAACATGTGATGATTGTGTAGCAGTCTTCAATTTGTTTTGATTTTCTATTTATTTATCGTTGTTATTACATCACCAGCATGGCAACCTATAAGGCCTATGTTAATTATTAAAAAATTTCAATTCTTTTTTTGTGCTTATTTTTGAGCCTATTTTAATTTATAATGGGATTCTGCACATCTACAGGAAAATATCTTTCTAACAATATGAATAGGTTTTCTGTGATGCACACAAGCTGAGAAAAAGGTTTCAAAGAAACATGCTTGCCTATTAATATATAGATGGATGCAATTTTTCATTGGGTTGAAGATTAATTAGGTTGTATATTGCTACAAGGTTTACATTAGATAGCAACCCAACCCGGGGTAAGACCATTTTCCTTTAAAATGTTTAAAATGACTTGGGAACACAAGATTATTAGTATTACAGTAGGTACCATTCTTCTAAACTACTTAATATTAATATACTTATATATACTTATATATATAATATACTTATATAATATACTTATATATACTTATATATATAATATACTAATATACTTAATAGGGCTGTGTTTAAAATATTATACTGTATTTGCCTACTATAAAAATAATGAACAAGTTCTCGGTTTACGAAGCGAAAATCAAAATACAAAAGTAAATGTTTGACAAAAAATTGATTGGTGGGCTGATGTGGGTAAATAAAAATTTTATAATATTGGACGAAAACCCCTGTACATAATAATATGTATTTGCACAAAATTTTGAAGTTAACAGCCTAAAAATAGGCATTGAGTTCTGAAATTTGTGTACCAAACTTGCTTGGTTGTTTTAGAAGTATTTACCACATTTTAACCAAAAAAGAATGCAAATTGTGTGCATTTTAAACTGAACAGTACAGTTACAATGTTTCATGGGTTTCAGTTGAATTTTAAAGTAGTGTTAAACACATTTGTCGTATAGCTCAGGAATTTAATTTTCATACATCAACCAAAAAAACTGATAGCACTGGTGAAACATCTCAGTAGACAACTGTCAGCCATATCTAAGGTCAAGAACAAGACTAGTTGAATGCTAATAAACAGCATTTAGTGTTGGTGAGAGTCAACAAGACACATCTGATATTTTTTTTTTTTTTTTTACCATTTAAACATGGTGGGTGAAAGTGATAGTGTTTTGAAGAAAATATTCAGAGTACTTAGAAACAAAAAGTTGCCAAATTCTGAGTTAGCAGAAAATGTGCCCTTCCAAATCACTAGGTATCCTACTAATATTATAAATGAGAAAGTTTGGATGTATGGATGTATGTTTGTGACAAGTGAACGCGAAAAATACTGGTCGGATTGGGCTGAAATTTGGCATGATGATAGCTCACATTCCCGATTAACATATAGGCATATTCTTATTTCAAAAATCCTTTCGGGCTCCGCCCCAGTGGCTCTGGAGTTTCCCATGTTAACCTTATGAGAAATGGAATTATTGAATCTTAACAGCTGTTTCAATTAAACAAGTTGGTTCTGTTCTATGATGTTCAATAGCTAATTTGCAACCAAAATGTGAGTGAGCGTAGCGAACGAACTTCAACCTGGAGGCGAGTTAGCGTAGCGAACGATCTAACCTGAAGGCAAGTGAGCGCAGCGAACGAGCTCCAACCTAAAGGTGAGTGAGCGTAGCGAACGAGCTCCAACCTAAAGGTGAGTGAGCGTAGCAAACAAACTTCAACCAGGACGTGATTGAGCCATGCGAACGAGATAATCTTACAAATTAAGAAGTTAAACGGGGCAAAGCCCGCGGGTTGCAGCTGGTATGTTTTAAAATTAGATTCCTTTTCATATTGGGCGATTGACTGGAAATGCTATCTAACAACTGGTTTCTAACAAAAAACATAAACTATGCTAATAAAATAAATGCACAAGGAAAAAGACAAAAATAACCTCAAAACTCCTTTCCCATACTGTGATGTAGCCTATATTGCCATTGATTTTTGAATACTGAAGTTGATATCCCATCAATATAGATCAGCTGTAGCCATTGTTTTATTTTAACATCATACTTAAACTAGCTACTCCACATGGTACAATGCAGTATATAATTAAATTTTATTGCCTAATTTTCTCAATTTAAGTTGTAATTTTTTTTCTTTATGTCTACGTTGTCGGTGGTATTTTTTACATGAGGAACTGCAGTAAGAAGTACCTACTTCAACGCTTTTAGGGAAAACGGTCTAAAACCATGTGTTATTAATGTGCCGGGAATCGACCTCGTCCCTCCTGAACCGAAGTTTGAGACGCTAATCACTAGCTCACTGGCTAGCCACACAAGCGAGTTTGGTTCGGTAAAACAGAATTTTTAAAGGACATAAATTGGTAATCTTCGTCAACACTGTCTGTGGCTTAATCCAATTATGTACTTTTTTATTAAAACTGGCATCTACTTAAAAATAGGGATAGAAGGTTTACAGGCCATAATAGCCAAATTCCGTACATCGGTGGAATATCTACTTTTACAGCTTCAATATCTACAGTCGATGGTAATACAAGGGAGTTTTTTTTTAATGTTTCATCAATGGTAATACTGTTAAATCTTTTTTAAACGTGTTGACTTTTATTTTACTGATGTCTGCTTCCATATATGATAGTAGTGTCAAACCCTTTACATTCTATTACATGTGTATGTTTATGTTAGCTGTACGGACACTGCCATGGAGTTGGTTCCACCTTCCAGGGAAACTCTGAAGAATATCTTCCAAAGCATCAACCTCAACACAGAACAGCACAGAAGAGACACAGAGCTTCTCAAAACATGGCTCAACTCACAGCCTCACCTGCCTCACGATCTGGGTAATATTATCTATATAGTCTGTATGATGGAACCTGTCTCCTGAACTTTGAACTCACAGCCTCACCTCCCTTACTACCTGGGTCAGTAATCTATATAGTCTGTATGATGGAACCTGTCTCCTGAGCTTTGAACTCACAGCCTCACCTCCCTCACAATCTTGGTAATGTTATCTATATAGTCTGTATGATGGAACCTGTCTCCTGAACCTTGGTCTACCTAGGAATGGGGTGATTGGCCAGTCCCCAGGTAAACACAAGGTCAGGTGACAGGTTCCATTATGCAGAGTGTAATTAGTTTTATTTTCCCCACAGCTGATTCTATCAAACCTAATAGTACAGTAAAAATATGTTTTGACAAAAAAAAAATTAGCACAACCGGGGAATTTGGTATAGATGTTGGGTGTACCTTCCTTTTGAACATACTAAAAGTCCCCTAAAATTGAAGCTGTGCTACGGCCGCCATATTGGAAAATGGCGGCATTTTTCTGTATTTCTCGCTATAGTGATTTTATTATTAGAGATACAGGAAAAAGCTAAATATACAAAATGTAGGTCATCTAAAAATACACATTTTTTGTATTTACCATCTTTCTCTAAACCCAACGGTTTTTGAGTTATTTGTTATTAAGTATATTTAGTTTTTTCTATTTATCAAAAATAGGCGAAACACATGGAATACGACCGTTACTTTCAAGGATTATGATAATTTATCCTATTTAGTTAAATAGTGTGAAACTATAAAATCTAAAAATTTAAGCTTATTTTATGAGTAAAACAACTCCGCCACAGCAAACCTGCAGACTCAGCAAATTTCCATTTGATTGGATGTTTTATTAAAAAATGTATATAAATAAAATTAGGTTCAACAGGTACCTAGGTTTGCTGCTACAGGAAGGTTATTACAGTGTTTTTTTTTTTTTTTTTATATCAATACCTTACTATAAAATAACTAATTTTCCAAGTTTGATCAAAATATATCTATAAACAAGCAAACTGCAACAGTTAACTAATTCATAAGAATAGCATGGGAGATTTAAATTTACAATAAACAAATTTGAATATACAAATTTTGGTTGTGTTTACTAAAAAGATGGTGATTATTCGTCACGATTAGAATATTAACCAAATGGGTTTTCAAAGGGAGATGGAGCCTGTTGTTTAAGTAATATTAATTCGTACCAAGCACCGAAAATATTGTATGCAGTAAGGTAATCTACCATATTTTGTAAAGTACGCAATAGTCATATTAATATTTTATCTTATTTTTTATCCATTTAATAGTTAACATTTTAGTATTTTGATGGCACCACCACACTAACTAACTATACTTGACATCCCATTGTAAATTTGGAAGGGTGTTTTTCGTGTCTAGTTCATGTTGGTGACTAATTAAGCATGGTATAGTTAGTTTTATTTATCAAAAATCGGTGAAACCCATCGCAATCGATGGTTACTTTCAAGGTTTACGACACTTATTCATCCCACTTAGTTGATATCAGAGTGATAGTGGTAGTGCCATCAAAATATTAAAATGTTAATTTATTAAATGGGTACAAATGAGTATAAAATATTAATATGACTATTGCGTAGTTTACAAAATATGGTTGATTTCCTCACTCCATACAATATTTCCGATAATGGTACGAGTTAATATTACAGTACTTAAATTACTTGCTTCATCTCCTTTTGAAAACCCCTTCGGTTAGTATTCGAATCGTGACGAATAATCGCCATATTTTTAGTAAACAAAACCAAAATTTGTATATTTAAATTTGTAAATTGTAAATCTTAAGCTACCATGCTATTATTATGAATTAGTTAATTGTTGCAGTTTGTTTGTTTATAGATTTATTATGATCAAACTTGGAAAATTAATTATTTTATACTAAGTTATTGATATTTTACTAAAAAAAACACACTATAATAACCTACCTGTAGCAGCAAACCTAGGTACCTGTTGAACCTAATTTTATTTATATACATTTTTTAATAAAACATCCAATCAAAAGGAAATTTGCTGAGTCTGCAGGTTTCCTATGGCAGAGTTGTTTTACTCATAAAATAAGCTTAAATTTTAAGATTTTATAGTATCACACTATTTAACTAAATAGGATAAATTATCATAATCCTTGAAAGTAACGGTCATATTCCATGTGTTTCGCCTATTTTTGATAAATAGAAAAAACTAAATATACTTAATAACAAATAACTCAAAAACCGTTGGGTTTAGAGAAAGATGGTAAATACAAAAAATGTGTATTTTTAGATGACCTACATTTTGTATATTTAGCTTTTTCCTGTATCTCTAATAATAAAATCACTGTAGCGAGAAATACAGAAAAATGCCGCCATTTTCCAATATGGCGGCCGTAGCACAGCTTCAATTTTAGGGGACTTTTAGTATGTTCAAAAGGAAGGTACACCCAACATCTGTACCAAATTCCCCGGTTGTGCTAATTTTTTTTAGGTTTATGGAATTTTTCTCTTATTTTTACTGCACTATAAGAGACATTTATCAAATAAACGGTATCCAATCTGACACATACTTTCTCCCATAAGATTGTCAACAACCTTTATCATGGATGGGTAGGTGGTGAGATTAACTATGAAATTATAAGGACCATAACACATTAATTTTAATCAAAACCGGCTTTTTTTTCTAAAATACGGTTTTTTGTTATTTTATGGGGAAATTACATAAGTTACAATAACTTTTGAATCATAATTTTTACGGAAATGGGATTTGTACGATTTTGTTCAGAATCTAAAGGACTATAACATACTATATTTTTATCAAAAGCGTTCGGGCCATCTTCGAGAAAATCCTATTTTGTCATTATTTTATAGGTTTGTATGGAAAAATCAAAATTTCAAAAAATGAAAAAAAACGCCTGGAGATAACATGGATAACATACCAAATTTCATAAAAATCTGACTACAGGTGTGGTTTGTAGCTCTGTAAACATCCACACACACAGACACCATTTCGAAAACCACTTTTTTGGGTTAGGGGGACCCAAAACGGATATATCTACTCATAACTCAAACTCAAAAATTTTGATGAAAACAATACTTTCTCCATATAGGCTACTATGTATAGGGGGAGAAAGTAAAAAAGGGGTACAATTAATTTATTTTTTGTCTCTAAATTTTAGAGTCTCTAGAGTTTTAATTGGTACCGGTACATACAGTTTTGTTGATAGTCAAAGATACAATATAACATATCTAGTTTTGTATATTTTTTATTATATTGCTGAAATATAGGATTTAAATAATTTGATCATTCATTTTATTCACTCAATCAATTGGGTTAAGTCTGCTGCATTAACCTGTGTCGATCTATTTAAAGTTGTAGTGTTTTAAATTGTTTTCTGTGCATCTAGTTGTATCATTGGGTGGGTGTCAAAAACGTCTATTGAAAACCTTAAAATGTAATTTTATGTTAGATTTGATATTTGATAGTGGGTCATATTACTTGAAACTTTCCAAAGAACCCATTTATTGGTAGCCAGCCTGTAATTTTGCTTAACAATAGTTCCCTCACAGGAAAAATTATGACTGCACCACTGGCTAACATCAACATCAAACTTGATTCTTCCTTACATGGACTTTACACATTGGTTTAATTTAATCATTAATCTTGTCAAACACATTTTGCAGACGACAGTCTCCTAAGCAGCTTCCTAGTTGGTTGCAAGAACAGTCTGGAGAGAGCCAAGACAGCCCTGGACAGTTATCTTACCAACAGAACAACCTGTCCAGACTTCTACCAACACAGAGACCCGTGCGACCCGGCCTTCAGGAAGATGTCTAGGGTCGTGTGAGTATAGTCAAATACATCTTGCAAAGTAATTTAAAAATAGTAAATCAACCCCTTTGACTATAGATAGAACTAGACTAACTAGACATTTCATCCTCAAGTTAACGTTCTCGCCATTTTTTACCAAAATGAACGTAGTTGAAGTGAACCATCGTAAGATTGTGCTGATCCAAATAACTGATTTCTGTTGAGTATGCACACTTTTGAACCAAGTTACAGGACGACTTATTGTATAAGCTATAGCATCTTTTCACGCCTCATGTCAACTATCTCAGGAGTTGCAGTAATATAAATTTAAGTTTTTCAATGTTCAATGACTGTTAAGTTATAAACACCTAATGTGGGATTTGAGTAGTTTGCATTTTTTTGTTTTGTCACAATTAGCTACATGATGGAGTCAAAACTTCTTGAAAGTACACATTAGTAAGGGTTGAATAAATCTTATAGAGCAAACTATTTTCTAGGATGGATAAATAAAAGAAATTAATTATTGTCTTTCATGGTAGAGAGTCCTAAAAGAGAAAATACTCATTGGCTACAAAAACCTTGTTTTTCAAGAAAAAGAATATCTATAGTTCAACATGATCTCTATTACCCATGCATTCCAGCATTTTAATGAAGTTTTCTAAAATTCACTAGTGATTGAAAAAAATTGAACTTGCCCTAGAACTCTACTTGTCATTCAAACCCAAAGCATGCACTGTGGATGCGATGCTCCCTGGTGTGGATGTGGATTAACGTCCACACTAGTCAGTACTATGACAATCCGCAGTATTATCTTGATAACTAGACTAATTTGTCAATTATAAGGCAAAATGTGGTTCAAAACCAATAATTGTACAAAAACACTTCGATATACTAAATTATTTGTTTTTTTAAGATCTTTAAAGAGGTCTGGAGAAGAATTGGGAAATTTTGTGTTTAGAGGGTTAATAATTAGAAAAACCAATTATACCCCAAAAAACCCCATGTAAAACCCCATTCCCATGGTACGATCATGCTGGTTCGCGAGCTCATTATAGTTTATCCCGTCTTACACCTTCAAACCAAATTTCATCAAAATTTTTGTAAAAATTTGAATGAATAGTGTTTTTGGCTTTTGGGGACATCGGTCTCGGGCCTAGGTCTTACCATGCCACCTACGGTAATAGCTACTTCCCTATAGGGAAATTTTCTAAAAACTCCCTAACGTAAAAGATTATGTCTGCAGGAGATACGTGACACTGCCGCGGATGACGACGGAGGGCTACAGAGTGACAATATACAGTCTAGTGTCCCCAGACACTCCAGCTAAAGACATTGACCTCTGTCTCAACGCCAGCAAAGTCCTGTGTTCCTACGACGTCAGATTCCTCGAGGATCCGTTCTGGGCAGGAGATGTCATTGTTATAGATAGCAAAAACTACACTCTCACCCAGCTGCCTGCATTAATGGTGTTGCCTGTGCTCAAGAAGTACATACACTGTGTCACTGTGAGTACATACACCGGGTCACTTATGAAACTTACTCTATGTAAGCGCTTACACTTAGTAATCATAAATTCCCCAGTGTAGAGACAGTAACGCTCAATATAGCCTGAGAACTAAGATCAGTGATTTTTAGGATTTCACTTGACTGAAGGAGGCGTTCACGATAGCACATACACAGGATACTTACACGGTTTCATCACGTCACGAGACGATGATGATTACACTGCGATAGGACATTTTCCTGATTTTGTCGCAACTGCAGGGTACTTACACGGTTCTGCTACCATCGCAGGAGAGCTATTCTGTTGATATCTAAAATTTGTTACATCCATTCAACCATTGTTGAGTTTATTGATTTTTTTAAATTAATAAATATGTTTCTTGGAAAAAGGAGAGTGGGGTCACCGTTCCGAAACCTCTACAGTACTGCATAAACTATATTAACTAAGTCACAGAGAAGTAATACAGAGTAAACTCGCTTGTTTGACTGTTGTGAGCTTTCAGCTCTGGTAGGTTCAAAATTTACTTGTGACGGGCATGGAAGAGCCTGAACGGGAGCACTGTGTGGAAATTTTGATTGCACAGGGTCTTCCTCCACCAAAGAGTGTTTTAGTCCACTCTTAAGGGGGGGTTCGGATTTTGCCCTAGACACCATCACTAGTGCTAAGACACCACTTGAGTCACATTCATTGAATGTTTCCTGTGTACCTTACCTCTTCTCTACGAAATCAAAAAAACACTTTAGATTGTTTCAAGGATAATATGCCAACCAAGAGTACCCTGGTTAAATTGCAATTTAGCTGACTACTTACTATTAAGGTTGACTTGTTATACCCTTCTTGAAGGTTATACACAAATAATTGCACAGCCTGGAAAAAATTTGTAATCAAGAATTTTTAGGCAATTGTGTCTTCAAAAATATTAAAGACCGATATTTGTTTGAAAGGTTTAGGTATCGAAATTGCAATAAGTAAATCGATGTTATTTTCCAGAACACTTTACCAGTGAGATTCAAGAAAATAATTTTCATTAACATGTCGCCTGTGGTTGAAATAATTTTAAAGACCATAAAACCTCTGCTGAAGCAAAAAATAGCCCAGAGAGTGAGTATTTATGTGTATTCTTACTAAAATAGATTTGTAATAACCAAAATTACAAGTACACATGTGTAAATTCAACTAAAATACTACATTTTTCATAAAATTCATAAGGAATAATAACGGTGGTGGACTAAACAGTGTTATATGTATCTTGCAGATAATATTATTAGAACTTCATAGAGTCATAGGATTTGTTTCTTTCTAACAAGCTTTTGAGTATCAAATAAACAACCTGTTTTACTTTATAGATAATAGCGACATCAGAAGATCACAAATTCCTATACAACCACGTTCCTCAAGACATTTTGCCAGAAGAGTATGGAGGAAAAGCCGGGAAACTCACTGAACTGAATGGTATGTACAGCGATGAATGTTTCTATTTCTATTTGATAGGACTTAAATTCATAATAATTAACCTAACTTTACTAAGCCAGCTGTGGTAAACTGGTTCTGCAATGGATTAGGTGTAAAATTTTAAATGTAAAGGAGAATAACAGATGATCTCGGTCTTGATCTCGGATGGTAGCGGTCTCAAACTACGGAGTACATAGACAAATAAGTGCTATATTTCAGATTTTTGCTAGAGTATCGATGGGTCTCTTAAAAGAATGAGGCAGAACTCAAGTGGATTAGTGCTTTTGTATTTAGTTCTGTAGTGATATATTTGAACATGATTTGTATTTTTTTCTCTTTAAAACTTGAGTATAATTAATGCATTTACTCTGTACCTTTAAGCATTCCATATGGTTCAAACAGGACTCATCTGTTCTTGATCATAGGGATTTGAATAAATGGACCTAGCTTACTAACCAGCTGATCTTTATCATTAAAGGTGAGATGAGACAGGCTGAGTTTGTTGCTTTTTTACTTGCAGCTCGTAAAGTAGATGAGTGTACCCACTGCACTTGCTCAATATCCGCTAAAAGCTTTGTAAAAGTTTAGTCTTTTGGCAAATGAACTTGCCACTTGGATTTTGAGCGAACTATCCAAAACTAAACAAGTGAAATAATGATTGTTTGCGAACAATCAACAAGTAGGATTAGTCTTGTGATGATGTAGGAGGAATTGGTTAAAACCAGGAGATGTATGTCGTACTCGCCGACAAGCCTACTTTTTACTTGTTGGCTTGTATCTTGTTTTCTTGCCATGTGTAAGCAAGTTAAAAAGCTATCATCTCAGTTTTCTCAGACATTCAACATTCATTCCACATCATTGCCTCTAAAGACACACTGTAATGTCTCAGAATTGCATGAATCTGATAAAATATATGCTTGTTATGCTTAAAAATTTGTTACTAGATAGCTTTGATTGTTTTGAGAGTACCATTTTGATTAAATCTATATTTCCAGATGCCTGGCAACTGAAGGTGGAGAGTTATCGAGAATGGTTTTTGAACGACATGAAACGGAAAGTCGACGAGAGCTTAAGGCCAGAAAAAAGTAAATACAAACCCAAAGAGCAAATGTTCGGCGTAGAGGGATCCTTCAAGACTCTAACGATAGACTAACACAAGTTAGCCTGCAAGAAGAGTTGTGCTCAACCAAAGTTGAAATACATTTGACAATTGTACAGTCTTTTGTTGCATTTCTGTTATTAAATAGGTTTTACATCAATTGTTTTGGGATTTTATCTACCAGCATTGACTATTGTATACTGGAGTAGACATTGGAATCTATATCATAAACCCACACAAGTAGACTTCTTGTCTCATTGTAAATTTTGACGCTCATTTTTCGTGTTGTTCATGTTGGTGATCGCTAGTGTCGGCAAAATTCTATTTCTATTATTTATTGGTTGACTTCATAATTTGTGCTTAACTGTTTGGTTATATAATTAGGGGACAAGTTATTGTTTCTGATTGTATCGATTTAACGAGATTTTTAATTTTTTAAATAACCAGAAACAAACAGTAAACAAAACACGACCTACACTACAGTGCACCGGACAGAACTAACAATAAAATTGTCTTCCGCTGATCCATAAGGATGGGAAATCTACAAAGGGAGTATGTTTTATCAAAGTCTATATAGACCAGCTGTCGCCAATTTAAAAAAAAGGACAAAGTTTTCTGAGGCAGTCACAGAATGCGCTTATGCCTACACTCGTATTTTCTACCTTAATTTTTGTTGCTGACTAAGTTTATGGGTAATTACAGTTGTTGTAGCTCACAATAAGTCATTCTATCAGTTTGGCTTGGTAAAAGAAGTCATTTTTCATTTAAAGGACCCCAATAGGCCAAAAACACCATCCGTTCAAATTCATATATTTATATTTTTGTCCATTAGCACTATAACTTGAGTAAAAATGATCCAATTTTGATTAAATACGGTTAAAAAGTGTAAACCTATGTATTTTCTAAAGAGTTCATGAACTAGCATGATCAGACTATATGGAATCTATTTTAATTTATTTACTTGTTAAACTTGATTGAAAACTGATAAAGGGTTATTTCTGTCAAGGTTTGTATGAACTTATAGGCCATACATTTTGTTGTTGTCATTCCATTTCATTAAAAACTCTCTACATCTTCCAAAACAATTTCCTATAAAAAAATGGACTTTTCAAGCTTATAAGCATTTTCCTTATTAGTTACTGGTTAAATATATGTGACCATTATCTACCACAAGACTGATAGATGACTGATTCATCAGACATTTGCAATCTACACTGGTAAGATTAGATACTACTCAAGCTGTTGAGATTTATTTGCAAAGTAAGTTTAAACTCACAGTGGAACCGTTTGTATATGAGGTCATGGATTAAATCAAGTCTGTAATCTCTTTAATCTGTGTTTAATTGTAAGCTGATGTCTCACGAACCTTATCAGTTGTGTAGTTGAGAGATTTATACTTCAACTTTGGTTCAGACGACACAGGTTCAATTCCAGTGGAACTAAATAATTTCTGCGGTTTCAGCTATTTGGTTGACAATTTTCACAAATTGATTTTACTTGACAAAAAATAGATTGAAATGCTAAAAAAATTAATACCATTTTTCTTAGAGTTGAAAGGACCATTACACAGTAAAGTGTAATCTAAATTGTTTGTGATCGAAATGGTGAATACTTAAAACCTAACTGTGAGAAATAACAAATAAAAAAATTGATTTAAGATTAAATAGCTTTTTGCCAACAATTAAATAAGGTTTTCATAGCCAGAGCCGGTATACTGTAAGACATCATATTTATTGAATTCAATAGTGTATAAAAAATGTTATTTAAATTGAATCCAAAGTTTGACCAAGACATTCAAGGATGTTATAAGGAAAAACACAACAAAAATAAGGAAACTTAGTAAAATACCAAATTTGACTTTGCATTAATACTTAGTGTAAGCAATAAAATCCATGTCAGAAGATCTAGAGTCCATTTGTGCATTGACTATACTAAAAAAGTTTAGTATCTTAAATGATCTGTCCAAGCAAAAAATATGTAAATAATAAAAATATGGGTCAAGAGAGACTAGTGATATTGTGGTGGGGCGGGGGCGGGGGGGGGGGCAATAACTGGATTGGGCTGTAATCAGCAAGGCTTAACAGCAATGACCTTGACAACATTTGAGAGCTCTACATCTGCATGCACTCCACAACACAACATAACCTAACTTGTTCCATACTGTCACTGTGCTTACTGTCAATGATAATTAACAGTTTAATATTTCAGCTTACACCAGTAAAGTGTGGAAACGTTGTGTGGAATAACCATGTCTCTCAAGTAAGTACATACAAGTAACTAGATTGAAATAACCTAAATCTGAAGCTAAAAGTAACATCTTACTTCTTCTACTGTATCTTTGATGCGACATGCCTACATCTATGTTATAGTTTTTACAGTCATTATAATGTGGACTCATTATGTCTCTGAAGTTAGTAAATCTAATTTTAACTCTTCTAATATAAAAAAATATATTTCAAGTTTAGTTTGTCTGTTAGGTATGCTTTCATGTGTAAGTAGTGTGTTTGTTTAAGTTGTATTGACATTAATTTGGGCGTTTCAAAGAATTATTTACTTAGTATTATTTGTAAAATGATTTTTTTTTTTTTAAGGAGAATTTCTTGCTATTCTTTATGTCATTATCACAATGTTTATTTACAAATAATGTCAGTTAACCTTTTCAGTCACATAAACCTTAAACTAGTACACTGAACTTGTTCTTTTTTCCCTTGTTTCCATAATAAAGATAACACAAATATTATAACTGAACCGCTAGAGGCCTAATTCAAGTTACCTGAGGCAATAACCTGCCCATCGACTTGCTTTGTGTAAACCCCGGAATAATTCAATGTACCGGTATCTGCAAAACAATAGTACAAAACACGATTCACTGACTAAAAAATAGAGGCAAATGTTAAAGTTAATTATAATGATGATAATATGTAAAATTTCCTGAAAAACTTTGATTCTTACCAGTGCTCAATTTGTAAAAAAGTGAGGTGCCGGAACTGTAACCTATTTAATGTGATTGGTACCAATTTCTGCCAATATTTTTATCTTTCCGAAAAAGAGGTACCGGAACACTGTTCCACCTTAAATCGAGCACTGATTCTTACAAAGTATGATAAACAATGAGCAAAAGGTCTGCCATTAAATAGAAAAAATCATAAAATCGTCAAAAACAAAGTCTAATATGTTTAGTCAATTAACGTACACAGGGTAACTATTTGCACATTAAAAGGGAATTTGATTCATTAAGAAGACTTTGCCAAAAATAAGCATTATCTTTGGCCCTATACATTTAGATACAACAATTATTTTGCTTAAATGTTAACATTTATTTTATTGAGAATGCTTTTTGTAAAACATTTTTGGACCAATTAATTTCACTAGATAACAACAATTTATATACATCTCCCTATAGGCTAGGTAAATTCTGTGTTTTTAGTTTCCAGAGTATAAACCTGTCCGAGCCTACAGAAGAGTTTAAGCAGTCTGTGTGTAAGAACTTCAACACGAGTCTCGAACAGCTGGAGAAAGACGTTCTTTCACTCAGAGAATGGCTGAAGTCTCAGACACATCTACCTCAGTGCGCAAGTGAGTGTTAACTTTGACCATAAGACAAATAGAATAAATATACACTGTCAAAGGAAGGTTGCACGATGGGCCGCTAGATGTTCGATTCGCTGCCGTCATCGGTTCCTCGTCGTATGCTACCAGCAGACTCTGCAGTGTGCGCCGTAACTACACGGCACTGTGGACGCCAGAACATATGCTAAACGCAGCATTGCTGTTGTATATTTAATTCTTTTTGTCTATGCTTTGACTATTGATACAACTAGACATTCCATCCCCAAGTTAAAGTTGTCGCCGTTTTTAGAATCAAAATGGTCATGGTTGAATTGAACCCCTGTCTGGCTAATGTAAATTACTGATTTATGTCAACACAAATTTTTTCACCTGGCCAAACTGATTGATAGGACAACTTATCATGAGCTACACTACAGCTGTTATGGTATCTTTATGTCAAAACTTTATCAGTAACTAAAACTAAAGGAGTAAACCATATATACTAGGAACCACATCATTCTGTGGTTTGAATTTAAACAAATTTGGTATGTGAGAACCAACCCATGGTATCTCTAAGCTTTTTTCAACATTTTTTTAATTTAGATTTTTAATGGTTACCGTATTATCTCATAAAAACCCATAAAATATTGGAAATTTATTGGATTTTCACAAAAACAGCTAAAACGATTTAAATGAAAATTGGTACGTTAGGGTTCTTTTCGCTCCATACACAAAGTGGTACAATCCTCAACGCTTTAAAACTCCGTAACTAAAACCAAAGGAGTTTAAACCATATGTACAGAGCTAGGAACCACATCTATGGTCTGAATTTGATGAAATTTGGTATGTGAAAATCAACCCATGGAAATTCTAGGCTTTTTTCATATTTTAAAAATTTAGATTTTTAATGGCTACCGTATTTTCTTATAAAAGCCCATAAAATATTGGAAATTGGATTAAAATTAAAATTGGAACATTAGGGTTCTTTTCGCTCCATACACAAAATGGCAAAAGTTCAAAAGTTATGGCAACTTTAAAACTTATGTGATTTTACCCATAAATATCATAGTTACTCCCACTTACAGGTTATAAGAGTTGTTGACAAGCTAATAGGAGAAAGTATGTGTAGATTGCTGATATTGTTTATTCAAACAAATTTTAATCTTGGCAAGAGAACACAGAACCTCTCAACAATTCAATAATTCAAATTCAACAACCCTTCAACAATTCATTGTCAAATTATTTTTCAGTTAAGGAAGGATCAAAAGTATGTTGTGGATTTGTGAGACGACTGTACTGTATCAAAATTGATGAACACCATTCACCAACAATTTGGCCTCGATTTAAAGTATCAGGATGATTTGACTACCGCACAGTTGTAAATGTATCTAGACTTATAAAATCAACTATGCGGAAGTCAAGTCGCTTTATGACACTCTACATCAAGGCCGAAACATCAATGAAGAGCGTTTTGTCGATTTTGCCATGTTCCCCAAACGACCATGAACTACATATGTGACCATGGATCCAATAAGGAAAAAGAAAGCTAGTATTCAAACAAAAACCAATTAAAAATTAATTTTACGATAAG